TTATCTATATTTCATTTTTGTCTATCCCGTAATAATTGACACATTTCTATTTTTGGTAAAAATTATTAAATAAAAAACATATTTAACAAATATAAATCAACTTAATTAATTACATAACATATAATATCATAAATGACGTATGACCCACTCAAAACCCCTTTATTTCTATTTTTCTTTAAAAAATAAATATTTTTATCTATATTTAAAACTACACATCTTTTATAAAATTGATTTATATTAATTATAAATAGAAAAATATTTTTGTATTTACTTATATTATAGAAAATTTTATTCTCTACAAAATGATATTTATATTACATATATATTTTAATTGTTATATAATTTTTAAATATTTAAACATATATTTTGATTTTTTTAATCATATATATTAAATTTACTTTAAAACTATAAATATTATTAATTATATAAAAAATAATATCATAACTAATTATTATTAACTAATTAAACATCCTTATCTTAAATAACATGTCCATAATCAAATGATTCAATTTCGGTGGGACGGACGGAGTATAATTTATGTATAATTAAATATAGATAAAGTAATACTCTCGTGGTCCAGTTAGAAAATATACATATTTCTATTTTTGGACGTCCAATTACAAAATAAATATTTTATTAAATACTTCACTTTTTTCCACAAATATCCTTACTTTACATCACATAATTACTTTTACACCAAAAAATAAGGGCAAAAAATGTCATTTTATTACTTTTAACTGCCCACTATAATTAAAATATTACTATTATTTCTTAAACACAACGCTAAAAGTAAATGTTTACTTTGCGTGTGGATGGAGGAAGTATATAATATTAGAAATATAATAGTAATTTTATAAATTAAAAACATAAACATATTTCATTTCCTTCAAAATTCCCCCAATTTTGACAGAAATAAGATAAAGTTCATTTTAATGAGCTTTGGTTGCAGATATGGATTCGTTGGCATCCACTTTACTCGAACCTTTGTCGAAGTTCTGGCTTCTGGTTCACGCTCACAATCTGTTCGACAAAATGACTCTTCATCTAAGTTTTTCCTTTCAACCCCATTTTTCACCCCACTGTCCACTTGTAACGGGTGGGATGGTTCCTCCTCGATCACCTTCCCGTCGGTCTAGCAATTCTTAGACTCCCTCGAGAACTCGCTAGTGCAGCCTCGTACACATCTCTAATGTACACTAAAGTAAGAACACTATAAATGCACCCGGCAAAATAGAATGTTTTATTAACTCTCAAAATTGAAATGAAGTACTATTTCTTATTTATAGCCTGGCGTAGCCTTCACAATATATAAGACAGTAGTCGCCAAGAATCAGCTATTGCTTTCAGATCATTGGCGAAATTTCTCACCTCCAAGATTGGCCCACCATCGCCTTCTCCCCCAAAGGAAACTTCAAGCCTTTATGCAGATTTCCGTTTCAATATTTTTTGTATAATTTACTTACGGTTATTGCTTTTGGGAATGAACGATCGATCAGGCAGATATGAGGAATAAGATAATCTAGAAGTGCAACGGATTGGCGATAGCTCAAATTTGGAATAATGGTTTTACTTTATTCTCAAATTTGATTACGCTAGCACTGGAGTGTGCTGTTGCTATTTTATTTTTAAATTCGATTACATTCAGGCCGGAGTTCAGAGGGTATGCTTGTGATTTTAAAATATTTTTCAGATTTTGAAGCATTTCGTTTTGCATTTTCATTGAACGTGTAATTTTGCACTTCATAACCTCACTAAATACTTACATTAAGAGCATACCATGTAATACTTACAATATATATATATATATTCCTATGCAGATTTTCTTTAGAACTATGTTTACATGTTAGTCAAAATTGATTTTTAAAGTATATTTTTATAAATAGTAATTTGCACTATGAAGGTGAACCATAGAAGGATGCGAGAAGATGAAGCGGGAGTATTTTCAGCAGCTTATTAATGTTTTTTCTATTGCCATAGCAGTCAACATGGGAGTCTTCTATAGATATATAAAGATAGTTCATGCGGCTGCTAACTTATTTCAGTAATACTTAAATTCATATGCTGAATCTTTCTAATGATTACCTTTGACGGTGCAGCCAGAAAACTTTTCTTTTGGATGCTGTTGGAAACTTCAAAGTTTCCGATTTCTGATTAAGCGTTTTGTCCAAACAAGTCAGGTTATATATATATATATATTTATATATCCAAATCTAAAAATTAGTTGAGTTTTATTTCTCACATATATTATGTCCCAAAAAGTTTCTTGGGTTGAATTTTATATTTTTGCCTAAGCAAACACACATATTTGTTATCGAACATTTACAATTTGTTTCATTTTTTCCTTATGTATACACACATTTAGGGGAAATGACATTTTTACCCGCAATACAATATCACACATCATAATGCAATAATATGCGAGTAATGGTGATTTTTCATCCATTGCATATATTGGTTATATTGCTTAATATTGAGAACAATACTAATTGCTAACATTGTTCTAAAGTTAAGTTTTTCAATATTTGAATTCACTTCCTAATGTTTCTCATATTGGTTACACCTCTTAAAATCTCAAGTTAAGGTTCTAGCTTTTCAAGTTCCAATCAAAGCGTATAAATTCCTATAGGAACAAGGCTATCTACCGCTTTTAACATCGAAAGGGACACTAATAATTTACGAGTGAGGATGACACCAACAAAAAAAGGCGATTCAAGAAAGAACTGATACCTTAACTTTATGAATAATACTTCTTTTAAGGTTGTATGTGTTTGTTAGTAATTTATATTTACTATGGTATTTTAACTGAGAAATGGTTTAAGTGGTTAGGTGAAATTGGTCTTATGCATTTTTGCCTTTTTTACTTACATGGTCAGTAACTAATTAATTTAAACCATAATATTTTTTTCTTACATGTAGTTGATTTAAATGAATATACATGCTTGTAGATGTTTCATTACTTACATTTGTGTTTGTTTGGGGGTTTGAATTTCGAGTTGGAATTTGAATAGTAAAAATTTTGAATTTTAATAGTTGTATGACGTGATATAAATAGGTGTTGATTTGATGTTTTAAATGTAAAATTGATTTTTAGTATAATATAAAAAATAAAAAATAGGTGTTTAATTTGATATTTTTTTTTTGGAAAATGGGATGAACAGTGGATTTAAAATCCAATCCCCAAACAAACGCACCTTAAAGAAGATTGGTAATAATCATATAACATATCTTCTTTTTGTGGAATTTACTAAAATATCATATCGTTGTCATCCGCATGTTTTAAATTTTTGGGAATAGAAGATGTCTGTCTTCCTATTTTACTTAGGGTGCGATTGGCAATTAGCAGATAGTTTTTAACTGCTTATTCAATTAGCTGTTAGCAGTTAGTTGATTCAATTAGCTGGTTTGACTAGCTGATTCAATTAGCGGTTTGTATTAAAATGTTTAATAAAATAACTGTTTGACATTAGTTGTTTATATATAAAATGACTATTAAGGACATTGATATGTTATTTTTTAAAATATTTAATTTTGTTCATTTTGATTTGAAATTTATGAGAATTTTTGTTATTAATTATTGAAAATTATAAAAATATTATAAAATATTTATTTTTATTTTTATTATTTAGATTTGAGAAAATTATTTTTACTAAAAAATAATAATTTTTTATTGAAATTATGTAAAATATAAAGTAATAAATCTTTCATATATATTTTTATTATGTTAAATTATTGTTTTAATATATATAAATAAATTAATAACCTTTATTTTTTTAATTTAATTTAGTTTTAAAAATTTATATATTTTACAAATAAAATAATTTATGTGTAATAATTAATAATAGTAATTATTTTAAATTTAAAAAATAAAAATATAATTTAATATTAAATATATTAAAATTAATTAATAAATACAGCTATAAAAATATATTTATATATATATAAAAAATAATTAAGTTTTAAAGGTAAATAAGGAATAACCAAAATTAAAATGAAAAATTCTTTCAAAAAGCTGGATGAATGAGTTTTTCAGAAATGAGCTTTTTGGATCCAAAAAGCTCTTTCAAAAAGCTAATTTGTCAAACACCTAAATTAGCTTTTTAACTGATCAAACAGCTAAAAGCTGTTAATAAGCTAAAAGCTATTAATAATCTAAAAGTTCTATTTCTCATACACCCTCTTAAGCTGAAATTATTTTATGGAAATGGGCGTCTATGGTTTAGGCTTAGCTTTCTTTACTTTCAATCTCACTTCCAGCCAATAGCACTCCTGATCTCTCCAAGTACAGTAAGTGACCTAAAATTTGCATCACGTTTTAAATTAAATGTTGAGGTTGTTTTACTTTGATTTTGTTGCAATCATATCGAACTTGTTTACTTGTTTTATATGTATATGTATATATTTTATACGAAATTATTTTTGTTGTACACACCGGCGCGGCATCGCGCGCGCCGGGTTCGTGTATATATATATATTAGTAAAATATACTGCTGGGTGGGCAACATCCACCAAACCGATCCAAACTGAAAGAAATACATTAGCGACTTTGGAGTATGTTTCTAATCTTTTAATTTGAAATAATTTTTATATAAAAAAAATAATAATATCGATAATATAAAAAATATATTTTATATTAAAAATTAATTTTTTTAAGAATATAAAAATTAGTATAAGAGAAATAATTAAACATTTTTATTATTATAAAGTAATTTATTTCAAAAAATATAAAATTATATATATATTTTTTATTTTAATATAATTTTACATTAAAATATATATTAATATTTGTTTACATAATATTAAATAATTATTTAAAGGTAAACCAACAAACAAACCCATCCTAAAAGAACACAACGTATATTTAAAAATAATATAGAAAAGGGATTCGGAATCAAGAAGCTCTCTTAACTGAAATTGACAAAGCTGTGTGAAATCCGTGTAGCTGTAGCCCTTCCAAACAGAACATAATAACACTAGTAATACCAATACCATTGTCTTGCAGCTGACACACACACACACACTCTCTCTCTCTCCCTCTCTCTCTTCTCCCGACACACTTCTCACTCTTCTCTCTCTCTCTCTCTCGGAGCTCGAGAGTAGTCTAAAATCTTACAGAAGATCCCTTTTCTTTTCGATTTCATTACAATTTCAATTTCAATTTCAATTTCTAGTGTTAAATGGGAACTGGGTTTGCCCTCATCTTTGCAGCCTTCCAGTTGCTAACATTTCTCGGTATGTCCTTATAAGTTTCTTGACTTGATTTGATTTGATGTTCTTTGATGTATGTATGTATGTATGAACTTGGATTGGAAGCACATTTGGGACTTACATAGATTGTCTGATCTTTGGCTTGTCACTGTTGGAAGAAAGAAACTAGGGATTTCTTTAGACCTGCTTCTTTTTATTTCAATTCCTTACCTTATTTCACTCATCTACTCTGTAATTTGATATATATATATATATATATAGTGTTGAGCTTGTCAATGAATGAGAAGAGCTTAAAAAAAGATGTGTTCAATGGCTGTTTGAGATTTGGCGAGTTTCTTACAACCCCTGAAGCAGTTCCATTCTTGCAAAACAGGTTCTTGCCGGAGCGGCGAAGTCGGAATATGCTACGGCCGGAACGCCGACGACCTCCCGCCGCCGGAAAAAGCCGTACAGCTGATCAAACAACACAACATCAAGTTCGTACGGATATACGACTCCAACATCCAAGTCCTAAAGGCTTTCGCCAACTCCGGCGTCGAGCTCATGCTCGGAATCCCCAACTCCGACCTCCTGCCCTTCTCCCAGTTCCAATCAAATGTCGACACGTGGCTCAAGAACATCATCCTTCCCTACTACCCCGCCGCCAAAATCGCCTACATTACCGTCGGTGCCGAGGTCACCGAAGCTCCCGGAAATGTCTCTGCCATGGTGGTTCCGGCAATGCGCAATGTCCTTACATCCCTTAAGAAGGCCGGACTTCATCGGAAAATCAAAGTCTCGAGCACGCATTCGTTGGGCGTCTTGTCCCGATCGTTCCCGCCGTCCGCCGGCGCTTTCAGCAGCCGATACGCTTCGTTCTTGAGACCAATGTTGGAGTTTCTCGCCGAGAACGAGTCGCCATTTATGGCAAATTTATATCCCTACTACGCATACCGTGATTCGTCGAGCAACATTTCGCTCGACTACGCCCTCTTCAAGTCGTCCTCCGAGGTCATCGATTCGAACACGGGTTTGCTATACACCAACATGTTCGACGCTCAAATCGACGCGATTAACTTCGCGCTCATGGCGTTGAATTTCCGGACGATTAGGGTAATGGTGACCGAGACCGGATGGCCTTCAAAAGGGTCCCCGAAGGAGACGGCTGCCACCGTCGACAACGCGCAGACGTACAACACGAATTTGATCCGCCATGTTGTAAACGATACGGGCACTCCGGCGAAGGCCGGGCAGGGAGTCGACGTCTACATATTCTCGTTGTTCAACGAGAATCGGAAACCGGGTCTCGAATCGGAGAGAAATTGGGGCCTGTTTTTCCCCGATCAGACGAGCGTTTACAGCCTCGACTTCACGGGGAGTGCTGTTGACGTTGCTGCGGGTTCGAACGCCACGAGCTCGAACGGGACTTGGTGCGTTGCGTCGAGCGCCGCAACCGAAGCTGATCTTCGAAATGGCATCAACTGGGCTTGCGGACCGGGAAATGTCGACTGCTCGGCGATCCAGCCGAGCCAGCCGTGCTTCCAACCGGATAACTTGGAATCCCACGCATCGTATGCGTTCAACAGTTATTACCAGCAGAACGGAGCCACGGACATCGCCTGCAGCTTCGGCGGAGCCGGGATCAGGACAAACAAAAATCCGAGTAAGTACATTGTCCGAATCCTCGAGTTTCTTGCTTCTTGATTACGAGTTTCGGCACTAATTGTTGTTTCATTTGACGGGCGCAGGCTATGACAATTGCTTGTACGCGACAAAAGGGTGGGTAACAAACACTATACTTTCCCGAGTCGAACATAATCGAAAAACTTACCTTTGTCTTTAACAGTTCATGTCGATCTTTGCCTGCAGGGCAAACAAAACTGCGGCAGCTAATGCAACGGTGACGCCTTCGAAATCTTTGTCGTCGGTATTGAGGGCATCCGTTTCCGTCGTCGTATGTTGCTTAGTTTCGGCTTCCTACGTACTGCACTAATGGCAACATTAGCTTAAGCTTATCCAAATTTTGGCCAAAACCGCTCTAGCTATGGTTGGAATGTTATTTGACAGGAGAATTGAATGATGCCTAAATCTACATTCATTCATTCATTATCGCATCGTATCGAAATGTCGAGCACAGGAAAAGCAGCAAAAGCCATATAAAAAAGAATCCAAATCACAACAGGAAATGCACACCAACCGACAGTTTCTCAAAACCAGAAAATGCAAAAGACAGCCATTTTTCGACTTTAGGCAGCACCACGACGACAGCCTTTCGGAAACACCAAACTCTTCTTGGCATGAATAAAAGAGAATCCCACAACTTCAAATATTGTAGAGTATAATAGATAACATCTGCAAATCATTCCACGGGTGGATGCAAGAACTTCTAAGTTAATTTATTGCCAACATGGTCAATAGTAAACATAGACAAAGAACAGAACCCGTACCGAGCACTTCAAAGGCCCTGGTCGATAAGATAATCACCAATCTTCTCGACAATCATGTTGCACTGCCCTGCAGTCATCGGCTCGTTATAGATGCCGATAACCAAGGCCAATGTAGTTTTCTTCACCGTAGCCCCACCAGATCCCTGAGGCAAAGTAATAGTATTAATGTGATGAAAGCAGATTATGGAGATCAGGCTGTCATTACAACTGCATTTGCTAGCTGGAAAATAACGATTTTTCGAAATTAAAATTGCTTCTTTTTTTCCTTGTATAGTTATGTTTCTATTCGAAGCAAAATTCTCGGGGGACCATGTCAACTCATCCATGAATAATAAACAGAGAGATTTGATGGCAATACCTTCTTCCCTCGGATGACAGCCCCAGGCTCACCTTGAATCACCATGTATTTAGTTCCTCCAATGTGCAATCCAGTAGGAGCTAACGAGCCCGGATTATCAAAGTCATTCATGATAGCAGTTACCTCCTCAGGCTTGAACTGCAACAGCAATTGTTTCAACCACAACATGATTATTCTTAATAACCTATAGCATAACGATGCAGGCGCAGGCACGGGTATTCAAATTTCTAGCTGTTAATGGTTGAGTAATTTCACTTCAAACTGTTGTCTCAATCGCAAAATATCATTTAACAGAAATCAATACACGGTTTTCTTTAGCAGCTATCGAACTTCATATGAAAAGTGGATTCTTTTTGGTAATACTTTTTTGACAGAGAGATTCATCAAAGAGGCTAAGGAAACCTTATGAAAACTTGTCCCTAACAATTCAATCATATATCAGCAATCCAATCAAGTAGAATATTAAATAAATATAAATAAACAAATAACAAGACGATAGCATAGCAAAAACAACAGAAAAATCATCTACGTGCCGGATCTAACCACACTGAGCACTAAACACAACGTTAAGCTAAAAATCGAATCACTAGTCTATAAACAAGAGTAACTTCCATTTAGATCAAAATAACAACCGCATCCAATCTAAGTAAAAGAAACTTATCCCCATCAGATCCGGATATTCTAACAAATAAAGTCAAAAGCAATCGATTAACACGATTTTCGAAGGCAATAGTTCAATTTAAAACCATGACTACAACTGATGCAGAAGCATCGCAAAACTCATCCAATAGCTGGATCAAGCCATTCCATGCACTAATCAGCGCCATACACAACAAAATCCTCAACAGAATCAAGTGCAAACTAACAGATCCCCTACTCACTTCAACTACAGACACTCTCAATCAAAATCGCGGCGAAACAAGCATCCATCCATCAGATCCGCAAATTCAAGCGCGCAAACAACAACAAATTAATAAAAAAAATCGTAAAAAAAAAAAAAAAAAACAACAACAAAACAATACCTGAGGGAAATTAGAGCTCTGCGCCCAAACGCTGCCATCATGACCAAGGATGGCGGCGGCAGTGAGATGACAGCCGTCGATGTCGGCCATCAAGTGATCGTCTATGTAGGTTTGCCACGACATCTTCTTCTCCCGGTAGCGAGAAACAGCAGAGACCAAAATATCTTGGTGCGCGTAGAATCAGAGAGGACTAAAGAAGATAGATGATAGCGTTGAAACAACGGAGATGAAGAAATGGTGCGATTGTCTTGCAACAATTACCACTTTTTATGCTTGCGGTCCCGAAGCTTCCAGATATGTGAAATGTCCTTTATACCCCTTCAGGGTTTAACCTTCCTTCTGTAATTCATTCCGCTCTTAATCCCTTTTAATTTGTAGATTGTTCGTGGTGCATTTGACTGAGGGTTTTACTGTAATTTGGTTTGTATAATATGGTGTGATAATATTCATGGGTGAGTTATGTTTTTTTAAAGAAAAATATGTTTAAAAATAGAAATAATTATTGAATATTATATTTTAAATAAATATATATAAAGTAATTAGTAATTTAGATAATTTGAATTTAGTTTGAAACCATAAATTATTTAAAACAGTTAAATTTGTAAAAAAAATAATAATAATTATTGAATTTTATATTTTAAATAAATATATATAATTAATTAGTAATTTAGATAATTTGAATTGATTTTGAAACCATAAATTATTTAAAACAGTTAAATTTGTAAAAAAAAAATATTATTGAATTTTATATTTTAAATAAATATATATAAGTAATTAGTAATTTAGATAATTTGAATTTAGTTTGAAACCATAAATTATTTAAAAAAGTTAAATTTGTAAAAAAATAATAATAAAAGTATATATATTATATTTAAGAAATTGAGTTTGTCTAATAAAAAGATAAAAAAAAACACACACACACACACACAAATTTTCTCAAGTCTACTTGCAAAATATACAAATTTTTAATTTACATTTCCATTACAAAATAAATATTTTAAAAATACATATATTTTATCACTATATTATTATTTTTACAATAAAAAATAATGATAAAATTATTTTATATTATTTTTAATTATTCATTATAATTAAAATACTCTTGTTTTTAAATTGCGAAAAAAAAAGAAAAGAAAAACTCTATTATTTTCAAATTTGACAGTGTATTTTCAACTTGTTGCCTTGAAATATTAAGGTTGTGTTTCTTTTGATGAGTTTGGAAAAAATTAATTTGGATTTGGTATGAAAATAATATTTGATGGAATATTTTGTAATAGAAAAAAATATTTTTTTTTTGAAAAACACATAATCAAATAATAAAATTTGGGAAAAATTAACTAAATAAAACATACTAATATTTTATATAATATTTGTATAATTTATAATTTATTATTAGTTATACAATCTTTTTATAATTTATTATGTCACAAACAAACCTCTGGTAATATTAGCCGTTAATTATTACTCCCTCCGTCTAGCTATAAAGTATACATGTTTCTATTTTGGGACGTCCAATTACAAAGTAACCATTTTATTAAATACCCCATTTTTTTAACAAATACTCCTACTTTACATCCAGGGATGGCAATGGGTCCGAGTAGACCCGAGACCCTACCCGGACCCGACCCATTTATTTGAAATCGGGTCCAATTATACAGGCATCGAGTCCGGATCCGAGTCGGGTATTGTGTACCCTTATCGGGTCCGGGTCCGGGTCCGGGTCTCGGGTCCAATGGTGGACCCAGACCCGACTCAGACCCGACTAATATATTACTAATATATTAATTATATATATAAATTAATTTTTAATAATATAAATTATATTAGAAATACGTTTTTTAGTTTTATTTATTTATTTTTTATTATTTTATTATAAAATTTTTGAATAAAATATATAAATTTTAATATATGTTGGTCTGGATCCGGGTTCGGGTCCAATTTTAAGTTAAATTTTAAAAATTAAAAAAAACAATTTCGGGTCTGTCGGGTCCATCGGATCTTGTCGGGTGTTATTCGGGTCGGGTCCGGGTATAATCGGGTCCAGTTCGGATCTCGGATCCAACCATGTGTATTCGGGTCGGGTCTCGGGTCCAGCTGGATCCGACCCATACCCGACCCATTGTCATCCCTATTTGCATCACATTATTACTTTTATACCAAAAAGGTAAGGTCAAAAATGTCATTTTACTACTTTTACCTACCCACTATAATTAAAATATTATTATTCCTTAATCTCCACGCCAAAAGTAATTGTATACTTTTAGCTTGGACGGAGGGAGTAATATATTTAAGCTTTACAAGGATTTTATACTCCCTCTGTCTCATGTAATATGATCATGTTACTATAGATATATGAATTTAGATAAAATATAATTAATAAATAATTAAAAAATATATTAATAAAAGTAATTATTGTATAGTAAAAATAATTGTAGATTAAGATTGAAAAAATATATATTTTTTTTTATAGATAAATTGATTTTTTTAGTATCGTAACTAGATTCCAAAAATTTTTAAAAAAATTTTTTTATGGGTAAATTGGTTTTTTTGTCTTTGTAACTAGAGTCTATCGCTAACTAATTTCATAAGTGGAAAACATTCGCGCTTTTAGTCCTTGGGCGCCAGAGATGTTTGCATAGCACCTGTGTGGCTCGCCGAAGCACAAGTGTACGCCTAGCGATACCTGACGTACACGTAGAATTTTTTTTAATTATTTTTTTTAAAATTAATTTATTTATTTTGTCTTTTTGTAAAAATTACTCCTTCCGTCCCATGTAATATGAGTATGTTACTGTAGATACGAGAATTTAGGTAAAGTATAATCAGTAAGTAATTAAAAAATGTATTATTATAAATAATTATTATATAGTAAATAATTATAGATTAAAATAACTAAATAGTTTAATTAAAATTTAAAAAAATATAAATTTTAAAATGTGATTAAAGTGTATAATTATATTTCATAAAAGAAGGACATGATGTGGGGCAGACGAAAATAAAAAAATATGCACAAATTATGTGAGATAGATGGAGTAAAATTTTTCAAGAAAAAAGAAATCAAAATTCACGTATCCGCCATATGTCGTTGACTTAGCGGACACGTGTCATCCGGTGAGTTACATGAGTGCTACCTAGGCATCTCCAACAATAAATGACTAAAATTGCCAAAATTGTACACTTAGGGAACTAATTTGAGACATACTCCAACTGCGTGACTAAAATAATAAAATTATTCAATTACGAGACTAAATAATCAATTTATCATCTTTTTATTTATAAAATAATTTATTTTATTATAAAATAACAAATTAAAACAACATTAATAACTACGCATTATGACTATATATATTCTAAATATTTAATTTTATATTTTTAAAATATAAAATAAAAAATAAGATAATTTTTTATTAAAATAATAATTCAAAATAAAATATTATTATAATTATTGTTATTAATTACTTATTTTAAACATCATTTATTTATATATATATTCTTTAAATAAACAATAAAATAAAATAAGGGAGGGTGGAATGGGGTGGGGGAGGCAAGGATGGGCTGTTCCTTCCCCTTGAATATTTTATAAAATTGTTTTTTTAGTTTCGTATCTGACTTTCTTTATCATTCTAGAATTTTAAGTAGATCATAACTAAAATATTTTCGCTAAAATAATTCTTCAGTGCCGGAATTGTTAATGTGATTAACATATCATCGCTACATAGATGCCACATCAGTGACACGTAATTTTTTTTTTTTTTATAAAATATCTTAGTAAATTATTTTTTATTCTCGCATATGATCTTTTTTATCATTTTTAAAACATTTGAATGAACTATGTCTCAAAATAGTCTTGCAAGTAAATTGTTTTTCTTTAAATGGTCCTTTGACATGGCATGTACGTGGCGATGACATGTCAACCGCATCAACGCCATGTTAGCAGTGGCTGCCAGTGTGGTGAGTCCGGCACCGAAGGACCATTTTAGCGAAAAAAGTTTTACTTACGAGACTATTTTCAAACATAATTCACTTAAAGTTCTAAAATGACAAAAAGTCGGAACTAAAATGACAATTTACCCATATTTTTATGAATAAATATGTAGTTAGATATAATATATTCATCAATAAATGTGTATATAAATTTAATTAAAATCTTTTAAGTTATATAATAAAAAAAAAATTAAAAGAAAATAGCCATTGTGTTCACGGTTATATACATTGAACTGAAAATATTTATTAATACATTATTGTACTATAATTAGGGTTTGTTTTTTTAGTCACCAAATCTCATATTTCTACTATTTGGACTCTGCGTTTTTTGAAAAAAATATATATATTTTTTCATAAAATATCTCATCATACATTATTTTAATACAAAATCAAACTAAATTTTCACAAATTTATCAAAAGAAACATACCCCACATATCGTATACTAAAAAATATATATATTTAACTACATTAAAGATGACCAATTTTTATTTTTAGTGAATTTATTCATTATATTTAACAATTATAAATCAATGTAATTAAATTTCTAATCTCTTACACACGATCCGCAGAAAACTCCTTTATTTCTATCTCTCCTCAATAAATAAATATTTTTATTTATATTTAAAACTTATTATTTGTTATATATTTTGGCCCGTGATAATTGAGGCCTAGAATGCACACAACCAACCCGCCCAAATTGAAGCCCGGACCCGGCAACCCACTACCCGACCCAATCTTTTGAGAGACTCGTCGGTTCGCAAGCTGCCTGGCTTTGATCCGGGCTGGACCGGTTTGAACCGGTCTGGACCGCTGGTCTGTTCTGTCCTATATATATAGGCTGATCCATTGAACCGGTTCACACTTCATTCCAGAACATACGATACATAACAGAACCTTCTCGCGATTCTTCTCTCATGCCCTAGGCGATTCCTTCGTCATCGCGTCTGCCTTCTCCGGTGAATCTGTCCGGCGAGTTGGGAGTTCCTCTTCCCCGTTGATGCGCGCCTCTTCCCTCGGTGTTTCTACGGTTTGGTTTAATCGATTTGTGCCTTTATGTGTGTCTCGCGATGTATATGCTGTTCGCGGTGTGATAGGCTTGAAATCGATTGTGTTTCCGTAGATAAGGGTTCGGGTTTGTGTGTTTGTTGCGTTTCCGTGGCGTGTCGTTTGTAGTTGGGTCTTGGATGTGTGATTGATGTCGGTTGGTTTGATATTAGGGTAAACTGAGTTTGAACTGTTGCTTCCGTAATAAATCAAAGTTTTC